GGGGGGTGAGCCCCCCGGGGGGGGTGCGCGCCTGGCGGGAGGGGGCGTGGTCTACCCCCACGAGGGGGCGTGGCCGGTGCCGCTCGCCCCCTTCCCGTGGCGGCCGCTTGGGGGCGCCCTGCGGCGGGTCCCGGGTGGGGGGGGGGCGCTGTGCGACCCTCGCCCCTTTTGGGGGATCTGGGCTGTGGGCTCCCTCGGGGTGGATGGGGAGCCCCAGCCTGACCCCCACCCCTTGCAGCTCCGGTCCAATGGAGATTCCAGTGCCACTCGCTCTGCAGTGCGGGGGAGGCGGTGGTCTCTGCACCCCTCCCGGTATGGCTGGGGAACGCACTTGCCTGGCCCCCATCCCCGCCTCGGTTCCATGGAGACCCCCGTGGGCCCTCGCTCTGGAGCGGGGATGGTCTCTGGAGCCACCGGAATGAACGGGGAGCGCCCATGTGACCCCCATCCCACCTGGTGCAGAGCTCACCCCTTGCCCCCTGCAGTGGGGGGATCGTGCGACCCTTAATCCTTTTGGGGAGGGGTCTGGGCTCTGCGTCCCCCTTCTGTGGCTGGCGAGCCCACCAGCCTGACCCTCATTCCCACCCTGCTTCCATGGAGACCCCAGTGCGATCCTTCCCCTGCTGTGGGAGGTGGTCTCTGGCTCCCCTGCGATGGATGGGGAGCGCCAGCCTGGCGCCCGTCCCTGGTGTGGGCTGGCACAGGGGGGCGCGGGGGGCAGGGTTGGCTGTGCCCCCCAGCCCAGGCTGGGCCAGGGTCCATGGCTCCTGGGAGGCCCTGAAGTGCTCAGCCCAGCAGATCCTGCCCTTGCTGAGGGGCTGTGCTGGGCAGTGACAGCTGACGGCCCCGGCAGCCTCTGCCCTGGCACCCGCCCGGGCTCGGCTCTCGCTGTGTCCCCAGGGGCTCAGCCTCCATGGTGTTGTGGCCACACGCAGGAGCACAGTCTGTGGGGCTCAGCAGCTGCTGCTCTGTGCACTGGATAACCTTTCTGCCAGCCTTCCCCTGTGTGGGGGCGTCTGGAGCCTCCTCAAGGCCTGCTGGGGGTGCGTGTCCCTGGGCACCGTGTGCTGCCCCGTGAGGGGAAGGTGCAGCCCCGCGGGGCTGGAGCGGCCTTGGGCTGCTCTGGGAAGCTCCAATCTGCTGCAGCCTCCCCGTGCGGGCAGTGCAGCTGTGAACAAGGTGCCCTGGGGAGCATCAAGAACCTCCTGTGTGGTTCTAGAGGTGGAGGCAGGCCTGGCGAGGCCGGAGCTGGCTGTGGTGTGTGCCCAGCATGGGAAAAGGCCCTGGCATCAGATATGCTTGTGTGGGCAGAGGCAGCGCTGGACGTGTCGGGTGATGGTGGGGGGTAGGATTTTCAACTGAATGCTGAAGGATGGTTCCTTTAGCCTCTTTTGATGAGCATGAGAGCTGCTTCATTTGTGCTCTCCTCTGCTCCTGCTGTGCTTCCAGGTATGGCTTTTGTTCTAGGCTGTAACTCCTTTTCCTTTTCATTGCAGCTGCAATCCCCAAGAAAACTTTTAATCTGCATTTTCTCACCTAACCCTGCCTAGCCTGGGATCAAAGCCGGTGATAAGAGCATAGCCCTGTTGTTATTGTGAGCTCAACCTTATGAAAGGAATATCCACAGCCTACAGAGCTGTAATGACTAGCCTGAGCCTCACAGCTCCATAGTGCATATTTGCACAGCCTCTTTTTCTCTCTGCACCTGCTCACATCCCTCTCCCTGTGAGTGCCCTTGCTTTGGAGGATGACAGTGAGTAACACCAGATTCTTCCACATCTCTGGCAGCCAGAGCAAGGGCCCAGGCTGAGCCCATGGCCTCACTTTGGGGGCAAAGCCCCTTGTATGATATCCTTGTCATGTCTTGTGGTCAGTGATGCTGGGATGCACAACTGATGGACACAGATGTGCTGGCAGAGGCCTTGCTGCAGAAGGGTTGTGGTCAAAGCCATCCACTGGAAGTATGGAATAGGTTACAGCTGTGACAATGCATTCGTTAGTTTAGCAGAGACAGTGCTAAGGATTTGACTGGATTTGTGTTTTAGTCTCTGTAGTGTTTTATTAACTTCCTCCTCTGCTGATGGTACACATCAGGAAATGTCAGTGAGACCATCCTCACAGTCCTGCTGGCCATGGGCTCTGCTGTCTCCTGGCCATTGCTGTGAGTCTGCTCTGCTGGCCCAGGGCAGCCCAAGGGACAAGGAGTTGGTCTCTAGGTGAGGTGAAACATTGCTCTGCTCAACACAGCCTTGCCCAGGGCCAGTCTGAAGAGCTGCATGTGAGGTGAGGCCTCCCAACACTGAAATCCCTTTGCAGCACCTTGGTGGCAGGCACCTTGCAGAGGGATCTGGGGCTGTCAGTGAGGCAGAGGAGACAGCTCACACTGTTATTCCAGTATTTTGGCTCTGCAGGGCCTCTTTAGGAAAATTACATGTTTTGCCTTCAAAGATAGATCCTCTCAGAGACTCTGCCCTTTTGTTTTCTCTCTCTTCCCTGTGCGGTAAGGTTTATTCACAGAGCCACTGATGGATTTGGGTTGTAAGGGACCTCTAGAAATGTCTGGTCCTACTGATCTGCTCACAGCAAAGCTGACTCGAGTCCTTGTTGTTCAGGGCTTTGTCCAGTTGGGGTTTGAGGACCTCCAGGCAGTCTGTGGCCTGTTCCCAGGCAGCAGCACTCCTCTGGAGAGTCACCTGCTGTCCATGCAGCTGTCCTCTCCAGCTGCTTGTGGGATGTGCCAGAACACTTTGTCAGGTGTTCTGCTGCCTTCCTGCAGCATTTGGGCAACAGGTAGACAGACCTGATGACCGTCTGTTTTTTACCACTTCCAGGTCTTCTGTATTTTTTAATCATTGCCTTGATATCATTAAGGCAGTTTGGACACACACTGCTCAAGCATGTTGTACCTCCAAGCCTTTTTTCTTGTGCTTCTGATAGTACTTCCAAAGCATTTTTACCCACTCACCCCTTTCCCCAGCATTTAACAGTATTTTGGCTGTACAACCACCGGAGAATTTTCTCTTGGAATTGATGGCTCAGTGGAGTTGGTTCTTGAAGCTGAATTGCTCTCCAGATAGCATTGCTGTAAGGGTGTACTTAGACTTGTTACTCTTTTCTCTGTTGCAAAGCCTTGACACTTAGTGCTTTGGGAGATCCTGGTCTTACAGGACGTGAGGGGATCCAAGCCATTTCAAACTGCTGCCAGGATGGCATTCTGGATGGATGAGGGTGCTCCTGTTGCCTGTCTTAGCATTTACTGCTGTGGTTAGCAGCAGATAATGCTGAGATTGAGGAATATTGTCAGTTTTACTTGAAGTGTTGCAGGGATTCTCCTGGTGAACCTAATTCCAGGCAATTCTGTGAGATTTCTGAAAATTGTCCTTATACTTTCTTGAAACTGAGGTGAACTTTCTGGAATGCAAGCTCAAAATGCAGTTTGGTCATTCCTACCTTTGAGGAATTTACAGGAGACTCATGGCTGTGTGTTGCAGCCCCAGCTGCTCAGTGCTGGAGGATTTAGGCTTTCTGGGTTCAGGGTGGCTGTGACCCTACATTTGAGGCCTGCAGCCCTGAGCTGGGGCTCCTGCTGTAGGAGAATCTAGTGATGATCTCCTTTCCTGGCTTTGGGACTATCAAAAAACAATTGCTGGAGTCTCGATGCTGCTGGTGAGATTCTGGAAAGTCCCATTTTTCCCCTGTGTACCAGTTACAGTTGTGTAGACAGTCCCAGTCACACGTGAAGACTGGCCTGAAGGGGATGTGGTGAAAGCTGCTGCAGTTTGCACTGATTGAGAACCACTCATGCATTAGGAGGTGGGACAGTGTTCACCAAACCCTGCCTGCAAAGCACGAGGGCTTGACCAAGGGCATCTGCAGGAGCTGTGGCTGACTTGGAGTGAGTCACTGCATGTAAAACCTCCAAGTCACTGAGGGTTTACAGATCCCATGGTCACTTGTCTAATCATGTGTTTATGAACTTGTCCAGCTTTGATTTCCAGCTTTTTGTGTCCTTGTGTGCATCTGTCCGTATCTCTAAGGAGTTGTCTGCTGTAGATCTTCTGATTTTGTGATTTTTTTGAGATGGTCATGTCTCTCTGTTTTTTCTCAGGGAACAAAATAGGTTTAGCCCTGGAGGGTGTTTTCTAAACCATGGCTGACTCATAAAGCAGTAGGATTCTTGTGTTACTGTGTCAGATTTTTTTTTTATTTGAACCATCTCGACTCTTCCAATAAGTGTTATCAATTATAGACAATAGCCAAGAATGAGACAGTGATGGTCTAAGATGGCACTGTGTGCAAGTAGCACTGTACTGAATGTCACCAAGTGGGCTTTGTGCTCTTTGAGTTTGCAGCTCAGAGATCTGCCTCTCCAAAAACACTAGTAAGTAACAAAATCCTTTCTGCTCCTTTCTGGAGAAGTTTGACTGGACTGAAACATGGTCCACAGTAGTGTGCTTATCTTACTGGTGATTCTTTGTAAATTCATTTGTGTTGAAGTGAGTTAGCCAGTATGTAATAAAGGTTTGCAGTGCTTGAATTTAGAATGCTATCAGCTGTCCAGATAAACTCAGATAAGTCACAGCAGAGAAGCTGGCTTCTGCGGTACTCACCACTCAAAGCATAATATTGTTGATGAAGATATGTTTACTGAAACCATGCTGGTACGATATGATAGTATTTTCTTGATGTTTTATTGATTGAACTGTGTATTGCCAGTATTTTTGTTGAGAAATACTAGGTGGAGTGTTACTGTTTGTTCCAAAATTTGGCACAAAAAATAGAAGCTTCTTCCAGAGCTCTGCTTAAGTCTTACAGACCTTGTAGATGGGAGGTGGCTGAAGTGTTGATTTAAGTGTCTTTTATAGTTACTAGTTAATTATATTCATATTTCACATTATCTCTAATAGTGGAAAAGCTAATCCTTCAGCCTTCAAAAGTATTGAAAATGTGAATACATATCCATGAACAGAAGTCCAGGACAGACACCCAAGAAGTTCCTGTTCCTTTGCTAGAGGAGAGCAGTAACTGCATGGCTGTGGGATTTTTTTTTTTTTTTTTTTTTTAGATCCTCATTTCTGTAGGTAGGCCACATATTCCCCTGCTAATGGTTACCTGAGTTACAGCACCACTGTTGTCTTTAATAAGCTGGATAAAGTCCCAGGTAGGCACTTGGATGTGCTTAAGTGTCCTGGCAGAGATGTTGCCCTTTGAGCTTTCAGATCTGAGAGAAGATCCCACGTGCCCCTCTCTGGCAGAAAGAGCTGGGCAGGTCTGGCAGTCCCAGGTACTGGGTTTGGCCATCGGTGTTGTGTTCTGTGCCAGTCCTGCACGCTTGGGGAGGACCCCCAGCTGTCCCATCACTTCTTTGGGAATGCTTACTTGCTACCTGAGAAGCATTCTGCTGCAGGCTGTTGTGCAAGAGACTTTGCTCCTTCAACTTGTTCTTCCCAAGAATATATCTCTTACTGAATACTCCAGGGAGTACTCACTCCTCAGTGAGGAGTTCCCAAATGGAGCAGTTGTATATGCTGTTCAGTGCAGGATTTCAGCACACTGCCTCCTCTTGGTTTGGCCAAGTCATGTTGCCCTGTACTCTCCTTGCTGCCAGTTATGGGGCTGGAAAAGAGGAAGATTTGAGCAGACCAGTGACCAAACCCCAGCGACTGAGCTGTGCATTAGCTGGTTCTGGATAAGAAAGGTGATAACTTGTGGTGTATCATTTCAGCACCTGCCAGAAACAATAAGCTATTCTGTTTCTGGTGTGGAAGGTGAGAAAAGACTTTACCAGAGATAAAGTGCACGCTCTGTTTGCAGCTTAACTCACTGTGAAGCTCAGCAGAAGGCCCAGACAAATCTGACTGCCTGGGGCAGACAGAAGTAGAGCTTCTTACCTTGCTGCAGCAGAGCAGCTCTAATTTCTTCAGATTGAGTTTGATTTCAGAGCAACCCACAGAACTGGAAAATACCGTTCTTTCCTATTTTGAGAGCCTCCTTCCTCATTCTTATCAGCTGGTAGTTGAAAGCCACTATAAAGAATTCATTGTCAGGGACAGTCTGTGCTTTCCCACTCACACTGTTTGTCAGCATCACCTTGGGCCCAGCCTCATCTCTTAACTCCACAGCTTTTCCAGATTCTTTTAAATATATCAAGAGTTGGCATTCATCTGCCCTGTATCACCTTGGAGCTCTGCTGCAGCAGGTTGAAAATAAACAAAAGGAAAATACTTCTAAAGCCTGAATGTTAAACTGCAGGACTTAAAACCACTGGAATTTTAGGAGGTCCGAAGTATAAATTGGTTCAAAGTGGGATTAGGCATATTCACAGAGGATTTGCCTGGTACAGACTCTTAACAGGGACATTGTCAGTGCAGCTCAAGCCAAGTTGTTCTTTCACAGCTGAGTCCTTGACTGGGGGATATGCTGAAGAGGAACATCCTGTTAGTTGTGTTTCTTATACTCTCTCCCCAGGTATCCATTCTTGGTGTGAATAGGAACAGGATATTTGAGTACATGGTCCTTTCACTGGACTGACTGCAGCAGTCCTTAGCTTTGCACAGCCTAAGAAGAAGCTTTGGTTCCTTCTGCAGAAGGTGTGAGCTGTTCTGCTGGGAAGATTCAGACAGAGCTGATGAGAGGGGACAGGACCTTGAGCACAGGGGCTCTGCTTCCAAACAGAGCGTGTGAGTGAGTGCTCTTACTGCAGCCCTGCCTCTGCAGAGGGGTCTGTTCCAGCCACAGCATGATAGTTTGGAGTTGCCTTAGTCTGCAGAATACTTCTTCTCTTTCAGGCTTTTCTGTTGGTCAAGGACATTGCCAATAAGTCAGAGTTTTGTCTTGCATTGTATCACCCAAAGTTTGAAAGCAGTGGACACTGTTAAACCAGATGCCTTTGGCCCACTTGTAACATGAGTTACAGGACAAGTTTGTAGATGGCTGCTTGCATTATGCTCTGGGAGGGAATGCCCAAATGGATTTCTTATGCTCCAGATGTTTCCAGGGTCTATTTCTACCGAGCAAAGACTAGGCCAGCTGGAAGTGGGAATTACTTTAGGAGTGTGACCTTAGTGGTTCATGGCAAACTTGTGCAAAGTGTCTGAGGTCATTCTGAGGGGTATGTTAGCTCTGTTAAGTATACCTATAAATAAATTTTCCTTCTTCATCTGGATGCCTTGAGGTTTTTTTGCTTATTATTGTAGGGTCAGCAGTCTGTCTGTGAAACTGGGTGAGGGATATCTTGAGCAGAAGGAAAAAACTATGTTTATCATCTTAGAGGGGTTCTCATCTGCTTCAAATCCTTGGGACCTTTCTTTCAGATGTCTGTTTCTATTTCACTTTTTTTCTTCTCTCTGTCATCTAACCTAAAATATGTGTTAGACCCTGCATTGCTCTGGAATTGGCTTATTCTAAAAGTTTTGTCTCATCTTGTAACTAAAAGTGAACAGAAACACCAAACTCTTTGGGGATGAATCTTGCTGAGCATTTCTAAAGATTACATTTGCTTTAGTTTCTGATTGGGTTTGTGGGAACAGTGCTTTATCTGCCACCAGGAAACAGAAAACATTACTGTGTATTTAGATAAAATAAGGAGGGGGTGGCTTTGAAATCCAGTTGTTGGATATGATTTAATTAAATTCCTGCTTGTCTAAGTTTCAGAAGCTGGCTGCCTTCTCTGTCCAAGTATGTTCTGTTTAGTTCTGAGCAAATAATTTGTGAGTGAAAATTTGCTTGTCCTTTCAGAGGGAAGGATATGAAAAAAGAGTTAAACAGCCATCATCAATGAATGCCTGCAGTAAGCCCAAATAAACAAAAGTACTGTGTCTTCTCATTCAGGGCTTAAAACAGTGCTAAATTTAGAATTGGAATTACTCTGATAGGAAGGGCTAGGTTGTTGCCATATAATTTGATTCTAGTACCTTTTTTGTAGTGTGTATTTAGAGCCTGCTTGGGGACACAATGTTACTTCAAGTCTTACACTGCCTTCCCACTTGCAGACTCCAGCTCCTTCTCCCTTTCCCTCTTTGGGTTTGTCAACCATTAGCTCCTTGTGGGGGTGTAATTCAGTTTTGGGCCATATTACTTGCCTCATCTCGAAGTCTTGACCCTTCTGTCTTATGATGATGTCAACCATGAGGAGCTGGGCTGTAACTTTCCCCCTGAGGTTCAGTCTGCATCACACCTTCCTGTTCCAGTCACTGTTTGTGCCCTGCAAACTCACATTGGGTTTTTTCCTGACTCTGCATTGCTTGTTCTATCTTGCTACTTGTTCTTCTTATGACTGCTTTTAACATCAGAGCTTTACCACCTTTCTTCTTGCCACTCTCCAGAACTCCTCCTAGTTCTAACTTAAGCTTTTCCAATTGTTCCATGTCTGAATATTAGCCTAGGTATTTTTGGGGTTATGCAGTAGCTGTAGTTATACTGTAACATTGTTTACATCTGTCCTCTGACAAGATTAATGCATGTTGTCATCCTCTATCTTGTTAAGACTCACACTTCAGGGTTTGAAGGGAGTTATTTCTGCCTCTATGTTTAAGAGAAAAAAAGATATTTTAAAAATTAAAAATGTGCTAGCTCCATAAGAACAGACCAGGAGAAAGAACAGACCAGATTATTTGGATAGAGAAGAAGACAGGGCTGGTGATATTACCACAGAACATTGGTGTGGAGCCTCCTGAATTGGTGCTCGAGCTATTTCTGATGCCCCAGTGTGTCATTTAGCATAAGCAAGTTTCTTTGCTGTGCTGTGGTGAGGTGTGTGAGGGCTGTAGAGTTCCCAAAGGTCTGTAATACCAAACTACTGCATCCTGCTGCTGACTTTTGTACCCTCCCAAGTAGAGGTGATTCACCTGCTGCTGTCTGGTGTCCTGGTTCTGGCCTGGCAGCATTCCTGGGCCTTGTTTTACTCCAGCAGTGTTCAGAAGAGTGGACAGTTCATGTTCTATGTTAGACTGCTTTTCATTAACTTGCGAGTCTCTCTCTCATTTCCAGTTGCCATCTTCTAAATGGATTCCAGTGAATTTTCAGGATCCTTGGACCCCCTGTCCTTGCCTGACAAACCACTCATTGGTGATCTCCCTGCTGACATGGAGTTTGGTGAAGATCTCCTGGGCTCCCAAACAGCTTCTACCCAGGAAGTTTCAGTTGTTCAGCCCCCTGGCTGGGATCAATCCAAACAGATGACTGCAGATGAGGACTTGGACCTTGTAGTGAAAGCAGACAGCGAGTCTGAACTAAATAAATCAAATGACTGTGTTCTAGATAAACCTGGTGTCTTGGATAAGCTGGAGAAACCTGGTGTCTTAGATGATTTGGGTAAAACCTCTGACTTGGTGGATAAACCAGAGGGTCTGGATGGGCTGTGTAAGGCACAACCTTCCCAGGACGTGGAAGGTGGACCGGCAGACTCCTCTGCCTTATCTAGAGAAGGCATTGGTCCAGAAACAGGGAAAGAAGGGGAGGATGCACCAAAAAATTGTTCTGGGGATGTAAAGGAAGATGGTGCTGCTGCTATTCCTGCACTGTCTGGTGACAATGCCCCTGGATCACCCCAACAACCTGTCCCTGATTCCAGGGATCTCAGTGCCCCGGCCAAGGAAGAAACCACAGCACAGTCCTCAAATCCCACAGTGCCCCCACCCCAAATCAGTCTTAAACAAACAAAGAAGATGAAGTTGAAGGCACCAAGGAAAAGCTCACCTGTGCAGAGGGAAGGGCTGGCAGGGGAGGCAGAGGTGCGACTGAGCCCAGACAGCAGAACTGCAGCTTTGCCCCCTGAGCCTGTGGAGAAAAACCGGGCAGAGGAAGGGGATGATAGTGGGAAGAACTCACTTAAAGAAAACAGTGTACTCAAAGCACAGGAAGCCTTACCACCAGCAGGTAAGTTGTTGGCTCAGCAGAACCTGGCTTCCTTTTGCTCAGGAGGTCATCCAGCTACACACTGCTGAAGCTGGGGTCTGCTCTGCATTGCAGCTCATCCCCTGCTATGGAAATAGCCAACTCTTCTGATGGTCTAGATTTGGTCAAAGCCTCTTTTGTAAAGGGAATAATGTTCTGGTGTGCACAAGCTCTTGATCTAGCTTTCATGGCTTTAACTGATTTTTGGTGCTTGTGGAAGTAAGGGGCTTCCCCAGTAAAGCTGTGGCTGCACATCAGCTTAGCTCACTCTCTTCTGGGCTGGAGTCTTTGCTGGAACTGAGGGTCACCAACAGGTGTTTCCAATAGGCAAAGTTCCTCTGCCCAGGCTGGCCATCCCCAGGAGATGCTCAGTCTTGGTCAGAAGCACTAACTGCCCACCCAGCCTGCCTCCCCCATGCAGGGAGGTCTCCCCCTTACAGGGCTCCTCCCAGTCTGTGTGTTTGATCTGCAGCTACAGGTGGTGGGTTTAGGAGCCTTCCACCACCAGAGCTGTACTTGATAGCCAGGACAGGCTGAGGCTTCATGTGCTGACTGACCCAAAGGGTGGCTGCATTTGGAGAACACCTGTGCTCTTCTGTTGGAGAAAAGCAAGATGCTAGATGCAAGCTTCTTCTGTGCTTCTGTTCCAGGAGAAAGCCTGTCTGGGAAGGGAAGCGAGCCGCCAGCTGAGAAGGTGAGGAGAATGCAGTCAAGTATGTATGGTACAGGAGCATAGAGCATGGCTGGCTGTTGTCAGACTCTGTGAGGGACACTGGCTGTCTTGTCAGCCTTCTGGAAAGGAGTTTGCATGACTCCTGTGACAGAATGATCCCTGTGCACTGCCACTATGCTGTAATGCGGCTTCAGTGTGTCCCTGCTACCCTCAGCTGAAATGTCATTCTCAAAAGCCTACTCCCCTCTCTCCTCTGTCTTGCCAGCTCTGATCAGGTGTCCATGAAGTTTTATCAATTTTCAGCCTAAGTACTGGGAAAGCAAATCCCAGAATTTGGAACTTCACCATAATCTGGGTCCATGGTAGCTGCTAGTTAGCCTGACTATTTTCTGAATGTCTTCTAGGAGCAGAAAAGAAGTGAACGACCCAGAAGATCAGAAACTGTCAGGACTGAGACTGTGAACTCCTCAGAGAGCAGTGAGTAACTGGGGTTGGCCAGTCTCTGTTTTCAGCCAGAGAGAATGGCCCAGATCCATTGTGGTTAGGTAGTTCATGGTGTGAGTACAGTGGGAACTCTGGAACTTCCGTGCAGACTTCCCTTCTGCACAGGACAGGTCCACAAGCCTTCATCCTGGGATATTTGCCTTGCTTTCCCAGGGCACTTAGGTCAAAACAGGGAGCGTTGTAGTATTTTTACAGTGGTGTGTGGGCACCAAGCACTAAGTAACAGGATGAGACTGGGGGGTGTTCCCAGGAAATCCATCTTCCATCTCCTCACACAGGAACTTTCTTCCTTTCTCTCTGTGAGAGCAGGCTGTCTGAATGCAGGTGGCATTTTGGAGATTTTCCTGGAGAAGTACATGAAGTGTCTGTTCTTTGAGATATTTAATGTCACCCTGCCATTCCCTAGTACTTGTGTGTTGCTCCTTTATTGCCTGCCTGCGCTAGAATCTGGTGATCAGCACATTCCCTTTCCAGTCTAACAGTTCTTACAGGGTAGATGTTCACACTTTGGGCGTCTGCTCAACCTTGGCATATCATGACTTCCTAGACAGGAATTGTATTTAAGCCTGGTTTGTTTAAACACCTCTTGATTCATCTCCAGTTACAACAGAATTTCTTTTAAGGATCCCTTTATCATTCCACCCAGATAGGAACAAAGTACGTAGAGGGGCTCTAGAAAGGTGACTCAGAAAATCCCAGCATGTGTCTCACGGCAGAATTTCTCACTTCCTAATGAGGGGTTTCTGATCTTCCTCTGCTGCTCTGCAGTTCCAGTGTCTGATGAAGACTCTGATGCGATGGTGGATGATCCCAACGACGAGGATTTCGTCCCTTTCCGCACGCGGCGCTCCACTCGGATGTCGCTGCGCGCGCAGATGGCGCAGCGAGCCGCCCGCTCCACCTTCACCAAGATGACGTGTGCCAACTGCAGGACTCCCCTGCAGAAGGGCCAGACTGCCTACCAGCGAAAAGGGCTTCCTCAGCTCTTCTGCTCCAGCTCCTGTCTCACCACCTTCTCAAAAAAGCCGCCTGGGAAGAAGATATGCACCTTCTGCAAAAAGTGTGTGTTCATTCCCCTTTCCTCAGCGCTCCCGTGCTTGTGACCCCACTCACCTGCTCCACAGCTCTCCTGCCAGTCCCCTTCCTATGGCCCTCGTTCAGCCACATCACTCCTGCCCACTGTCCATGTCTTCTTTCACACACTGCCTATCCCATGCTCCTTACATCCCTGTCACATTCTTGCTTTCCCTCCCTGTCCCCAGACTTAGTGCCCCATATTCCGGCCTCCCCTCAAAACAACATCCTGCATGCTCTGTCTTCAGACACCTCTCCCCTGGGCCAGGACAGAAGCTGCTGTGAGACAGTTCTTGCCAACTTTTTGGGACACCAGAAAGTCCTGTGCATTGCAGTCAGCCATCCTGTCCCTTTATGGCAGGACACACATGTCCCTGCACTAACCCATCCCCTCCTGATCCCCAGGGAGATCTGGAACACCAAGGACTCTGTGGTTGCCCAGATTGGTTCAGGTGGCTCTTTCCATGAGTTCTGCACCTCTGTCTGCCTTTCCCTCTACGAGGCCCAGCAGCACAGACCAGCACCTCAGTCTGCAGATGCCTCGGACACCAGCCGCTGCAGTGTTTGCCACAAACCTGGCGAGGTAAACGAATCCCTTGTCTTCCCATGTCCTGGAGGAAGTGCTTAGGACTTGCAGCACTTAGTCTTGGCCAAAACCAGGGCATTTGCCAGGTTTTCCTGTGGTGTGAGGCCTCACTCTCAAGCTTTTCTTTGCCCTGAGGCTCACTGCTTCCTGCCACTCTGCTCTCCCAGTTGCTCCTCTGCTTTTGGCATGGGAGTCCACCACGAGTCCATGCCAGCTTCCAGTATGGCACTTCCCAGAGCTTTAGTGCCTGTTGTCCCAAGGGCTATGCTTGTATTGGTACAGCTGCATTGGGAGGAGGCCCGTGGTGGTCTGGGGAGTGACAGCAGTGATGTCTCTGCAGATCCAGCACGAGGTCAGCAATGGGAACGTGGTTCACCGCATCTGCAGTGACGCCTGCTTCACCAAGTTCCGGGCCACCAAGGGGCTGAAAACGAACTGCTGTGACAACTGTGGACTTTATATCTACAACAAGGGCTTGCCCCTGGAGTACCTCTTCCATGAAGGCCAGCAAAAACGCTTTTGCAACTCTGCGTGTCTCAACAGTTACAAGAAGGTGGGTGGGGGCAGCTGCCTGGGGTGGGGGGGTCTCTGTGGGCACACAGCAACTTTGCTTGGTGTGGCACAGGGCATTGTATTAAATAGCAGGTGACTGGAAGTGACTGGAATCCCCTTGGTCTTTGATTGGTGACAAAGCAGATACAAGATTGCTGTGGGGAAACTCTGAAGCAGGCAAACAGAATTTATTTTATCTGCATGGGATCCACTATGGACCCAAGCATGGGTCAGAAAGTCCATGAACTAGTGGTAGAGTGACAGTGGTATATGCAGTTAGCATGGACTGGCTTCTGGATGTCTCCCTAAAGCTGAGCTGGGCATGTTCCTCTGTCGCCTGAGCAGTTTTCACTTAACTGTGTTGGAAGTGGTTGCCAAACTCTGTATTCCTGCCAGGCTACCCTTGAAATGAGGAGTTGAAGTGCCAAAGACAGCTTTTTTTGCTACCACCACCTGAATCTGCAGACTGTAAGCCTGTCCCTGGCATCAGGTGGTCACTGTAGGAGAGCACTCCTGTAGTGGATACAGCAGTGGGGTGGGATGTGGTAGCTGGACCTTGCCAGCTGTGATGGTCTCCTGGAAGCTCTGTTCTGCTCTGTGTTTGCAGAAGAACACTCGGGTCTACCCCTGCATGTGGTGCAAGACGCTGTGCAAGAACTTTGACATGCTGCCCAACGTGGATCGCAGTGGCAAGATGGGCCTGTTCTGCTCCATCTGCTGCACTACCTCCCACAAAGTGAAGCAGTCAGGCTTAGTTGGTAAGAGCACCTGGGTAGAGGGAATCATCACCTCTCCACTTAATTCCTTCCTTGGTATTGTTTATTGCTTGTGGATGGGACTGAAAAGAAGGTAAAAGCCTGGGGGAAGAGTCCAGTGAGACAAGTGGAAGTGCAGAGGGAGGAACCCTTGCAGCATGTAGACATCTTAATACAGAGGGTAGTGTACATTGCTGTTCTTGAGAATGAATGCAGGGAACAGTTGTGGTGCTGGATTGTGCTGGCATTGCCCTTCCCATTACATGGTGGACTGGGTTGTCCAGGAGTGGGACAGGTATTGCAACCTGTTTTGTCCAAATTTCTATAGAGCCAGGATCACTTCTGTGACCCACTCTGCTCTCCATCTGTTTAACATTTCTGTCCTAGCAGAATCTGGTGCTCTTCGTTTCCTGCTGTTCTTGTCCCTTGCTTTGTACTAATAGCTTGTCAGACTGAGGATGAGTGAGTAGCTTGCATGCCATCCTCAGAATCCAGTCCCACATCCTGTGCTGCTGCCCTCACAATTCCTGTCTGTTTCATCAGGTCCCCCCAGACCCTGCAGCTTCTGCAGAAAGAGTTTATCTGAACCCTGCTATTACAACAAGACAGACCGGGTTGTCTACCAGTTCTGCAGCCCCAGCTGTTGGACCAAATTCCAGGTACTGAAATATCCTTCATACTGGGCTGGGCCATGGAGCTCATACCTCCACTAAGCAGGGGTTCCACCTTCCTTGAGCTCCTCAGGGAGGGCTCCTAAGAAAGTCTCTTCTGGAGCACAGGAGTTGCAAGTGACTGTGATTGCTCAAATCCCAGTCTTGGCCCTATCTCCCCATCCTCTATTGGGATAAGCTGGGCTGTGATTCACTCTGTCTGTCAGGTTATGCCCAGCAGGAGGGCAGTGCAGAGCTGTGCTGCATGAGTGCTTTGGGGTAGAGTGGCCTTATGAGTGCACAGGTAAGGCAGCAAAGCACAAGTGCACCCCTGATAGCTGGGTGGAAAGGCACAGAGCTGCCCTCTCACCAGGTGTCACTGAGAAACATAAGTCTTCCAGGACGTATTGTCTAAGAATTTACAACTAGCAGGCCTGGATACCTCTTGTTTAATAATCCTCAAAGGCTTGACTGGTGATTTTTAATCTTCTGATGTTAAGTTTCAGCATATGTAAGATGTCTGGTATTCATAGGCAATTTCAAGAATATTAGTTTTGTACAGTTGTCAAAGAACAAGGTAACAGCCAGGAAGACCTGAGAAACTCAGGCCAGGACATGTCTTGGGCACCTGAGAAAACATAGAGAATCTAGAGGTAAGAGTTAGTTACCCACAGGTGCAACATTTCTTTTTGAGATTTGGTTTGTTTGGGGCTTTTTATTTGGCAGTAGGGGAGGCATTTGGTTGGTTGGGGGTTTTTGGTGGGTTTCTTTTTGTTTGTTTGGGGTTTTTTATGAATCCTTGATGTAATCCTTCACTGAGTAGTGTAGCTATAGAGCTTTTAGCATTGTAGACTTCATAAGACTTGAATCATAGAACAGTTTGGGTTGAAAGGGACCTTTAAATGTCATCTGGGCCAGCCTCCCCTGCAATGAGCAGGGACATCTTCAGTAAGATCAGGTTGTTCAGAGCCCTGTCTAATCTGATCTTGAATATTTCCAGGGTTAGGGCACCTACCTGTGCCAGTGTTTCACCACCCACATAGGAAAGAAAAATAGCTCATCTCAATATGCTCTCTTTTAGGTTAAAACTATTACCCCTTGTCCTATTGCAACAGGATCTGCTAAAATGTGTGTTCCCATCTTACTTACAAGCCCCATTTTAAGTACTGAAAGGCCACAAGAAGGTCTCCCCAGAGCCATCTCCAAGCTGAATTATCCCAACTCTCAGCCTTTCTTGACAGGAGAACTGTTCCAACCCTCTGGTGATTTTTATGGCCCTCCTGTGGACTCTCTCCAACAGCTCCATGTCCTTCCTGTGCTGGGGACCCCAGAGCTGGAGGCAGCACTGCAGGTGGGGTCTGACCAGAGTGGAGCAGAGGGGCAGAATCCTCTCCCTTGACCTGCTGGTGATGCTGCTTTTTGGGCAGCCCAGGACACTCCTGCCTTTCTGGGCTGTGAGCTCATGTTGCCAGCTCATATCCAGCCTCCATCCCCCAGCATCCCCGAGTCCTTCTCTGCAGGGCTGCTCTCCATCTGCTCATCCCCATCCTGGGTCAATACTGGGGTTGCTCTGTCCCAGGTGCAGCACTTTGTGCTTGGCCTTGTTGAACCTCATGGGATTCCCACAGGCCACTGCTGGGGCTTGTCCAGGTCCCTCTGGCTGTCCCTGTGTCCCTCAGGCACTTCAATGAACAACTCAGCTTGGTGTCATCTGCAAACCTGCTGAGGGTGCTCTCAATCCACTGTGTCCCTGATGAGGACATGAAACAGGTCCCTGAGGGTCAGCACTTGTCACTGATGTCCATCTGGACACTGAACTTTTGGCCACTACCTTCTGCCTGCAAACACCCAACCAAATTCCTCATCCACCAAGGAGTCCAGCCATCAAATCATCTTTCTCCAGTTTAGAGAGGAGGATGTTGTGGGGAACTGTGCCAAAGGCTTTGCAGAAGTCCAGAGAGATCACACCCATAGCTCTTTGCTTCTCTGCTGATGTAGTCACTCCATTGAGGAGACAGCCAGGTTGGTCAGGCAGGGCTTGCCCTTGGTGCCCTGTGCTGGCTGTGTTGGCACCTCCTGTGCTCCATGTGCCTCAGCACAGCTTCTAGAAAGATCTGTTCCATGATCTTCACAGGCACTGCACAGTTCAGTTGTTTCCAGGGTCCTCCTTTCTACCCATTTTAGAAATGGTTGCAACATTTCTCCTTTTCCCAACTGGGACTTCATTAATTCATCTAACTTGAATTATTACCATAGAAAATCAGCATTGTAAACATGTGAGTAAACCCATGCATCACCTGGGTTAGGAATTGTCTTGTTGGCAGATCTCAGAACACACTTGTCAAAGAAAAACCACTGAAGAGAATGTTTCAAAATGGCTTCTTGGGGATCAGTGTCCACTTCATTTTCAATGCTTAAGAAAAATTAGAAGTATTCTGAAGAAAAACCCAAAAATGAAGTTTGGGCTTGAAAAACGCTTATACTGAGGCACTTGCAGAACATCTTATCTGAAGTTATCAGAAAGAAAACCAGGAATGACTTTATTAATAAATGTATCCTTGTGGATAAGGCACCGAATGCTAAGTGTATTGTGGACAGGACACCAATTGCTGTTTAATCTAGCAGATTAATCTAGCAGAAAATGGGATGAGAGGCTGCTTGAATTCTTAAGTTGCATTTTCTTGAAAATAGAAATCAGGCACCTGTGCTTCAAGAACTTTTAGAGAAATCCTCAGAAGAGGTAACAGAGCCCTCATCATTTAAGTTTTCAAATCCAGTAGCATGGCAGTCTGAAAGCTTCCCTTCCTGAGAAGAGCTGGACCCAGCACAGTGGAAGCAAAGTGAAATTGCTCTCAAGAATCATCTCTCCAGGAGCTTGAGACAAGATGTGATGGACTGACCGAGTCCCCACGGTGGCAGCAGGTCTGAGGGGCCAGGCCGGCTGCAGGCCATGAAGGAGGTGGCAGTGGTGGCAGTGTGAGGCAGGTGCCTGCTGCCCTCCAGCTGCTCTCCCCCCATGAGCTGTCTCTGTCTCCTGCAGCGCACCAGCCCGGAAGGTGGGATCCACCTCAACTGCCATTACTGTCACAATCTGTTCAGCGGGAAGCCGGAGATCCTGGACTGGCAGGTGAGGACTTCCCCCGGGGGGATGCTGAGGTGGAGGCCAACACTGCTGAGAACCTCTGGGATACTTTCTCTCCCTGCTCTAAGCAGAGCTCCTCCTCTGCCAGGCCTCTGAATGCCTTAGCTGCAGACATGTGCCTGGAGACTGTGTGAGGGCTGCACTCCTGGTGTTCAGCTGGATGTCAGAAGGGCAGGAGGGAGGAGACCACTCCTGCCAAATCCTGTGCCAGGAGAGCTGGGGACTTAACTCAGCCCTGTAGCCTTTTTCTGGCTTCCCTGATAAGTGTGGGAACCTTCTGCCAGCCTGGCTGACCTGGCTGTGGTCTCTTTGGCAGGACAAGGTGTATCAGTTCTGCTGCAAGGACTGCTGCGAGGACTTCAAGCGGCTGCGTGGGGTGGTGTCTCAGTGTGAACACTGCAAGCAGGAGAAGCTGCTGCATGAGAAGATCCGTTTCTCTGGAGTGGAGAAGAACTTCTGCAGCGAAGGTACTTGGGGAAGGCGTGGGAGAGGCAGAGCCCCCATGCCAGCCCATGCTGGGGGAGGAGAAGAGAGCATGGAGAGGAACAGAGGGGAGATTGTCTTAGCCAGGCCCTGGGGCAAGAGCCTTGCCATGCAGTGAAGGGAGGACTGTTGTGGGGATGGCTTGCTGTCCAGCCAGGCCCTAGGGCAAGATCTTTACCGTTCATTGTGTCCTTGGGGAGGGCCTTCTCACAGCTTTTCTCTCTCTGGGGGCTGGGGAGACAGCAGGTGGCAGCTCCGCTCCTCCTGTCATCATGCACTTCTACGCTCTTGCGTCTGGGCTGGCCTGACCTGGCCTTGCCCTGCCTGCTGGGTTCCTGCACACAGGAGGTTGGAGTCAGACTCTTCCTAGAAGCATGGAGGTGAGAGATGGCAAGTCCCCGTGAGGTCCCATCTTATCCCAGCCCTAGGGGCCAGTGCTGGATTGTTCCCTACAGTGTGTTGCGTGTGCTCTGTTGTCTCCGCAGACCTGGATTCTGGTCATGTTTGGGTCAGGGAGGCCCCCAGTTCATCCTGGGAAGGTTTCACTCCTATTGTTTCTCCGCAGGGTGTGTGCTTCTTTACAAACAGGATTTCACCAAGAACCTGGGCCTGTGCTGCATCACCTGCACCTACTGTTCTCAGACCTGCCAGCGGGCGGTCACCGAGCAGCTGGAGGGCAGCACCTGGGACTTCTGTAGTGAAGACTGCAAAAGCAAATACTTGCTCTGGTACTTCAAGGTCAGTATTGGCACTGGCAGCTTGTGCTAAGTGCTGTGGTGGGCACGGCACCCAGATAAGTGGGCATTGCACTGAGGAAGTTCGCACTGCTGGAGTCTGGCTGGCACTGCTGCGGAGAACCTGGCACTGCTGGAGTCCTGCCTGGCAATGACGGGACACTGCTACGGGGAAGCTCACGTAGCTGGAGTCCCCAGCTGATCCTGCCAGACAGAGCACTGCACTGAGGAAGCTCACAGTGCTGGATCCGCGGCCAGTGCTGCTGGGAGAAGTTCGCACCGCTGGAGTCCCTGGCTGGCACTGGCAGGGCACTGCTGTGGGGAAGCTCACTGCACCTTGCGATGTGCACCTTTCACTGGAGAGTTGTGTTGCACTCGGAGGGGGTGTGGTTAGTTACTCGTTGTTTCTCTCCTGCTGATGCGGGCTTTAGGCAGCTCGGTGCCATGCCTGCAAGCGTCAGGGGAAGCTGCTGGAAACCATCCACTGGCGGGGGCAAATCAAACACTTCTGCAACCAGCAGTGTCTGCTGCGATTTTACAATCAACAGAACCAGCCCAACCTGGACACGCAGAAGGGGCCCGAGAGCCTGCTGAACAGTGAGTAGGAGGGAGGGAGGGAACCTGCATAGCTCAGTCTGAGAGACACAGGGAAGACTCAACAGCAGGGGGTGGAAGCTGCCTGCCTGGGACTGGAGGAGACGCTAGGGAACAATCCTGCACTGGCCCCTGGGGGGGAAAGGACGGAGTGGGACCTAATGGGCTTCTCCATCTCTAACATCTATGGTTCTATGACACACAGGGCCCAGACGGGAGGAGCCGGTGCCAGCGTGCTGCCTGTAGCTCACACTCTTAGCGAGGATACTCAGGGATTTAACATCCTCAAGTTGCCAGCGGAGAGCTCGATTTACAGGGTTAGGGGACAGCGTGGTTTGGCATGACAATCCACCTGCAGCCTCACACCACCTCCGAGCTGTGACCTTCTCAGATCTCATAAACTAATCTGGATTGGGCCAGGTCAGTGCTTGGATGGGAAACATTCAAGGACAAAGAAGGGTGCTGCAGGAAGTGGTGCTGGTGATGCTGTAGGTGGGCTCTCCTTCAGCCAGAGCTGAACCTAGAACGGTCTTGAGGGAGCACTGAGCTGCTGGAGGCACTGTGTCTTGCAATGTTAGGTTGGAGTCCTACCACTTACCCAAAGTTCACTGCAGCTTTGGGGAGTTGCCAACCCTGTGTCCCAGATAACCCCATTCTGCATCCATGGAGTACCAGCTGGAGAGGAGATTTTCACTGCCTGTTGCCCCATTTCCTATCATTAACTCAAGCCAATTCCTTATGGAAGATTGCAAAGTGCTTTGGGATCCCTCAGGATGGAAGGTGCTCCTAGTGACAGTGACAAGACACCACCTGGCCCTCGGACACCTGCAGTCTCATTCTGCTTGGTCTTTGTAGGCCACGATCTCCTGGGTGACCTGGGAGATATAGTTAAAGTGCTTGCAGCTTACAGTGGGACTTGATTCAGTGCAACAAGCTTCAGATCATACCTGCATCACAGGTTCAGGCCTTTGCTGGCCTCTCTGGGATTTCATGACTTGTAAAACCCTGGCTAGGATGTGCCAAGGAGGGGAAACCAAGACAAGGACCTTCGCATGAGAGACCTCATCCTCCATCTCCAGACTCTTGAGGTTCCTCCCCTGACTGTAGTGCAATGATCATAGGACAAGGGAAGCTCCAGATGTTGTTGCTGCTTAGGCAGCAAAGCAGAGCTGCTCTGCCAGAAGCAGCAGGTTCCCCCAGCTAGGGGAAGCCCAACCTGCCTTCCAAGAGCCACGCTCCCTAACAGGCTGTGTGAGGTGACAGCTCAAGTGGCAGCACACTGGAATGACCTGGCAAAGGAACTGTTGGTTTCTGCTGGGACAAGGGTGCCCATGGGAATTCTGCTTGATTTACAGTGCTCTGCTGCCCAAGGGAGGAAGAGGTGTGTGACATGCTGCTTCCTGTAGCTCACCAAGTGATTCCACAGCCCTAGCCATGCTGTTCCATTTGTCTTCTGCTGTCAAAGCATGTTGCTTTTGAGAGATCTGTAACACGGCTTTTGGGACAGGCACAGTGGGCAGGCTGTGCCTGCAGAGGAAAGCATGTTTCACACTGTTCAGCCGTTGTCTCACGGAGCCATGGATCACAAGACTGAGAAGTACCTTCAGCACCACCAACCATGAGAGTCTCAGACCTCCACCACATCTCTGGAGGCCCCCCAGAACTCTGCTGCTTGGTGTGTGGGGCTTCACTCTTCACTGTGCCACAGCTGCATCTCCATGCAACCTGTAAGGACTAAAGGGAGCCCAGGAAAAGCCTGTCACCAGTCATCAGTGCCCAGCTGAGCACGAGTTCCAGGCTGCCCCAGCAGCTCCTGTGCTTAGTGGATGCTGCTGGTGGCACTGGGCCCTCTGTATGCTCTGCCACACCAGTCCCCTGTCAGATGTGGGACAGCTGTGGACATCCTTGCCCCAGGACTGTGGCATACTGCTGAGTTTGCAAAGGATGCTGAACCCAGGACCCACTTACACAGAGAGCTTTCCAGCTGTGCTGTGCTGTGCAGGGGTTTTGGGAGGACCAGCTTCTGCATGGTCTCCTGTGGACCTGACAGCTGTGTTGCCAGCTTACAAGGGACTACCTGGATTTCAGGTTCATCTTGGACAGAGCTTTTATTCTTGCTTACTCTCTTGCAGCCAGTGATTGCCTAAAACCATTAATTCCTGTGATCCAGTGGCTGCTACCAGTCTGGTGATCCTTGAGAGTTCTTGTAGCTGATCATACAAGCAGATGTTCCCTTGCTGGGAACAGTTCATGTAGTGTGGGATTGAGGAGCATTGCTTCAAAACTGTGCCCAAAGGCTTCCAAAAGGAGCTGGCTCTGCACTGGGCTGCCCAGCTGGAGAGGGTAGAAGTCACAGTTGTTACAGGCAGTGCCTTGATAGCTCCTTGTTGGTTTTGGGATGAGACTAAAGAACAAACTGCAGCTTTCCTGGAAGCCTGGACACATAGCACATGGCAGGAGGATCTTGTTTTCTTTAGTCCTAAATCATTGACCAGTGGGGCAATCCTGTTTGCTTTAGATTCTGCTGCAGCAGAAATTCTGCTCATAAGCCATAGCTTGTCTTTTCTCATTCAGGCCATTGGTGTTTCCTATGTGGACCTGCTGCCCATCTGCTTTGGGTTGTCAGGGTGAGTTCTTGGCCCCTGAGACTGCTGCAGATCCTATGGCTGAATGCTTAGCTGCACACTAGGGAGCTTCCTCCAGCTGGGATTTATCTGTTGCCCCCTGTGGTGGTCAGCAAGTGGAGCCTTATAGGCCTCAAATTGTACAAGAATTATCCTGAATTTCTTCAGGTCAGAGGAAGTCTTCACAGTGTGAATGTCCCTGTGTTGGACTTTTAGGAATCTGGATCTTTCCTGAAGGACCTGTCTGTGTACAGGAGTTGTGAATGGACCCGCCACTGCCTTTGGGTGCTGGGACCTGCTGCTGTCCTTGCAGGGGTCTCCTCCATGCATGGCCCACCAGTAGAAGGCAATTATTTTTGCCAGTCAAAGATCCCTGGTAGGTAACCAAGGATCACGGGAGACTGGGATGAAGGTGCTCTGTTAGCTCACCAGCCTTTGAGGTGGGTGCAGGTTTTCTGCAGAGCACATGAGCTGGCATTCTCATCCTAGGCAGGGTGATAGTGTCACCACCCAAGACCAGCTCTGCCACACGTGCCTCTCACCTGCAGGTGATCCTCTCTTTCCTTAGGGGAATGGACTGCATCCCTAGGGCTGGGGCAAAGCTGTCTCTCTGCTTTCTGGGATTTCTCACAATGCTGCTACTAGCTCTGTCACCTTCTTCCTAGGGATCTCGAAGCACTTTGCCAAGATATTTGTTGCAGGGATATGGAGGCACAGGGAGGGGCCATGGCTCGGTACAGCAAGCCACTAGGCAGAGCTCGGATTAGAGCCCTGGATTCCTCTCTCTACAAGGGGCTGGGATTTCTCCTGACCTGCTGTGATGGGGAAGGGGTGGACTGTAAGGGAGCACAAAATCACATGGGAATAACTTGATTTTGGAGTTTTAGTGTCCTCTGAGGTGTTAGGGCTAGAGATTGTGGAAACATTAACTGTTCCTGGAGTGGCCAGGAGCAGTTTCTGGGGAGCCTGTCCCTGCTCTCTGGCTGCTTGCACCTCCAGTCCCAGCAGTGGGACATGTTGGCCTAGGAGCTCTTGAACTTAAGAGTTGTTACTTTCTCTTACAGGTCAGACTTCAGAGCCAAAACCAGCTGTTCCTTCCACACAGAAGGCAGAAACTAACATGGTAAGACCCATTGGAGGTAGGAGTTTGCAAGACAAAGGGGCTGTCCCCAAAGAGAGGACAGTTCTGCCATTGTTCAGGGAGATTTCCTTCTTCTACAACCAATGCATTTTGAGATGTCTGGGTAGTGGGGGATGAAAAGTGGGGGATGCTGCCTAGGAAGGCAGAATCAACATATCTCCTGCAAGGGGGAAGAATAACTGTTCCCCAGGAATCAGTGATGAGCTCCAGAATATCCTGACACTGTGGCACTGGCTTCTCTTTGCACAGTGCTTTCCTGGGCCTGGGTATAGTTGCTATCCCACTGTTCCCCTCTACCCCATGGGACAGGAGCCACCTTTGCTGGACTCCTGGCACAGCAGAGGCAGCACACAGGCTTGCTGCCTGCCAGGAACAGCTTGGCTGTCCTTCATCATGGCCTGACCATGGGAGTGTCCATGTGTTGCAGACTGCCAAGCTCCAGCAGGTGCTTTGGGAGTCATTCCACCTGCACCTGTAGTAGGGAAGAGATTGTGCTGCCTTAGGTAGACACCAACCTCCTGCCTTCTGCATTTCCCCAGCTGTCAGCAAAGGCCTCCTCAGCCCAAACCTCTCCAGCTGTGCCACCTCCTGCCCCACCTCTGGTTCCAGCTACCCCTCGGAAAAACAAAGCTGCCATGTGTAAACCACTGATGCAGAACCGGGGTGTCTCCTGCAAGTTTGAAATGAAGTCCAAAGGATGTCAGACAGGTAGGAAAGCAAGATTTAACTGTAGGATTACAGGGGCATTTTGGAAAGGCAAGTGGCACATTCCTGCTCCAGACTAACTGTGAACCCAGCCTGAAATGCTGCACAGAGCAGGCTGGGTGATGGCACTATGCTGAGGAGTCTCTGGGCAGGTGCAGGGCACACATGGCAGGGCTGGGGGTAGGGAGCCCATTTCCATCACCAGCAAAAGAAGAGATGCAGAGAGCTCTGTAGCATGATCCTACCTTGTGGGACAGCTCCTGTTCCTCAGGAGATCATTATCTTGTCTGAGGGCTGTCTGCTAACAGGTTCCACTCTAGTTCCTCTTGGTCATGTGTGTGTGGTCTGCAGCACATGCAAGGCAGCTAGACCTCTTAACAGAGCTATGTAAGAGCAGGATTTGTATTTCTGGCTAAGGCAAGCCTCTCTTGTTGCTGGCCTTGACTTGCTGCTATTGCAGCTCTGCCCCTGAGTCCTAGAAGCTGGTGGCTGGAAGGGCTGTGGTGCTGGATGGCTGGGGGCATGGCAGCATGCAGCAGAGCTGGGTGCAGGAACTTCAGGGATTAAGGTCACTGATGTATTTCTGCTCTTGTCAGAGGCTGACTGGAAGCCCCAGCTGGTTGTGTTGCCAATCCCCGTCCCGATCTTCGTGCCTGTGCCTATGCATATGTACTGCCAGAAAGTACCTGTGCCTTTCTCCATGCCTGTCCCGGTAAGCAACACGCTTCACCTGCTCGTGTTCTCCTGCTGCTGGGATCCTGCCTTGCTCAAGTCTCCCTGCTTCTCTCTTCATGCTCTGCTCCTGCCTCTGCTTTTATGTCAGTCTACTGAGTGTTGGTTTTCTGCCTGGTGTGCTACTGTCCACAGGTGCCTGTGCCAATGTTCCTGCCCACCACACTGGAGAGCACAGAGAAGATCGTGGAGACCATTGAGGAACTGAAGGTGAAGATCCCCTCCAATCCCCTAGAGGCTGACATCCTGGCCATGGCTGAGATGATTGCAGAGGCTGAGGAACTGGACAAAGCTTCCTCAGACTTGTGTGGTAGGTTCTGCCATGGCTTGGTCTGGTCCAACAGCTGGGATCAAGGGGGAGCTAAAACACTTGATGGGATTGTGGCTCTCCCAAAGCCTTTGAAAAGGAAGCATGGAAGACCAAGTCCTTAACTTCTGCTAAAGAGGTACCAGAAGGGAAGAGCTGCAGCAGGGAGCAGTGTCTGCCACTGTCCCTTTTGGGGGTGCCAGTCTTGTGGCACATGTGCAGCTCTCTTAGTTTATTCAGGTGGCAGTTCAGATTCTTCCCTAAAGCAGCTTCCATGCTACAAAAGGTAGCTGCAGGCAGCCCTCGTCTTGCAGGTTTTTTTACTTGGGGGCTGCATTCCTACAAATGGCAGTGATGGGGGTTGTGGCTGGGCAGACAACAACTGTCCAGTGTCTTGCTATCCAGGGAAAGCTGGACAGCTCAAGTGTCATGGGGCTGCTCTGAGCACCCAGATTCTGACTTCATTTTCCAGCTGTCACAGGGAAAACAGACAAAAGTCTTTCAAGAAAGCTGGGTTTCTCATGAACTTTTTCCTTTCAGACCTGGTGAGTAACCAGAGTGCAGAGGGTCTCCTGGAGGACTGTGATCTGTTCGGACCAGCGCGGGACGATGTGTTGGCTATGGCTGTCAAGATGGCAAATGTCCTCGATGAGCCAGGCCAGGACCTGGAGGCTGACTTCCCTAAGAGTAAGAGCTGGGTGACACAGGTGTGCAGGGCTGCTGAGGGTCCTCCCACTGCCCTCAGCTGTGAGCACTTACCTCCCTGTGCCTTCTGACTGAGCTGGTGTGAGGGGTGTGAGCCGTGACTGCTGGCAGCAGGGGTGGGAGGACCACCACTTCTGAAGGAGTGTATGTTTGTCCAGAATAAACTTACCTGTTGTGAACATGAGACCCAGAGAAGGGGGAATGAGAAGCTGATTTGAACAGCACAAAGAGCAGGGAAGCAGCACTGGTGTGTTTATGAGTGATGATTCCAGAGGATCCAGCTAGATGAGAAACCTGGACAAGGCATGGCATACTGAGAAATGGCAAAATTGCTGAGTGGCTGTTCACAGAAGGTGGAAGAAGAGGCAGGGACTTGCAGGAGCACAGCAATGCTGAGGCAGGATGCTAGCAGCAAACAACAGAATTGAGGTGCCTGTGCCAGGCTGTCCACAGTACTGGCCTGGCACCAGGGAATGAGGAATGTTCCTCAGGTTTAAAAAATAAACAGACAAAAAACTGTCAGAAAGGAAAATGTGGGGTTCTGGTCATTCTGAGAAATTTTAGCATTGTCTGGTGGAGCCATATTTTCTTTGTTGGGCTGTGGCTAAAAGTTCATGCCAGGCAGTGGTAGAGGATGTGAAGTGTTCCCTCTTAATTTTGCTGTAAAAATCAGGCCAGCACAGGGGGCAGGATTAGAAGTCTCAGCTGAACCCTTCTGCCTGTGTTTCCTTTCAGACCCTCTGGACATCAACCCCAGTGTGGATTTCCTCTTTGACTGTGGGCTGGTGGGACCAGATGATGTGTCCACAGAGCAAGATCTGCCTCGAGCTGTCCGGAAGGTGAGTTCTCCGTGGCTGCTGCCTGCTTAAAGCCCTTTGGTTTGGAGTGGAGCTGCCACCTGGGATGTAGGAGGTGAAGTGTACCAGAGTCTTTGGTGTGCTGGGGAGGTTGTGCCCTGGCCTTTTAGGGCATGGTTGGCCTGAAGGCCACTCCTTGAATGAAAATACTTGCTTGTCACTTTGGAGGAGCTTTGAATGCTACAAGTCATGTGACAGCTGGTCTCTTTCGTGCCTGTGACCCTCTTAACTGATGAGCTTTGTTGGCTTGGCTGCCAGCAGAACAGTGCCTGCTGCCATGGCACACTGTAGGGAGCTGACAGGTGTGAGGGGTGGCCAGGACTCCTGCACCTGTCCCAGGTAGGTGCCCAGTCTCACAACACCTCTCTGCAGGGGCAGAAGCGCCTGGTGCTCTCTGAAAGCTGTTCCCGGGACTCGATGAGCAGCCAGCCCAGCTGTACCGTGCTCAACTACTCATATGGTGTGAATGCCTGGAAGTCCTGGGTACAAGCCAAGTATGCAGGGGGAGAAACCAGCAAGGGAGAGGAGCTACGCTTTGGCCGTAAGTGCCTTGTCGGGATGCTGCAGAGTGGCAGAAACCTCCCAGAAGCTGGACCTTGGGGTGTTGAGGTGTTCCTGATCTTGTGGGCTGTTATCTGAGGTTGCTGTGCTTGTCCCTGCAGCCAAGCCCATGAGGATCAAGGAAGACATCCTAGCCTGCTCAGCAGCTGAGCTCAACTACGGCCTGGCCCAGTTTGTGAAGGAGATAACCCGGCCCAATGGGGAGCGCTATGAACCAGACAGCATCTATTACCTCTGCCTTGGCATCCAGCAGGTGAGGGAGGCCTGGCTGCCCTGGTCCTCTGCAGCCAGACTGGGGGTTCAGGTCTGGTCAGGGGAGCTTGTACCCTTCATTCTGCCTTCTGGGGACCCAGAGAGGCTGGCTGGACTCTCCTTTGGTGTCTCATGCCAGGACAGCATCCCATATGGTTTGGTCTTTGTTCCCAAGCTCAGGGAGTAGGTGGCATCTATTCCCCAGCCTTGTACCATTCTTGCACATCTCTGAGGAGGGCTGGGGGATGTCCCCAAACTCAGGCCCTTCTTCAGCACCAAGTTTGCTTTGTCATGCCCTAGGACTTTCCTTGCAGCTCTCAGAAGTGTCTGCCCAGCAGCTCTGGTGGTGCAAGGAGGGGTGCTCTGCATATGTGCTCTGGGCTCTCTGGGGAGGGTTTGCATTCCAGGTGCTGCTGTGTTTCTCTTGACTGTGTGTTCTGTCCTTTCTAGTACCTGCTCGAGAACAATCGTATGGTGAATATATTTACAGACCTTTACTACCTGACCTTCGTGCAGGAGCTGAACAAATCCCTGAGTGGCTGGCAACCCACAATCTTACCAAATAGTACGTGTCTTCAGAGTCCCTTCACTCCCCACATGTATCCAGTTTGTGCTTGTAGCCTTGGATCCTCTAGCCTGATTGTTCTCCCCCAGCTTCAACCTTGGCATAGGCAGCACAGTCCTGCTGTGTGTTGAGGTCATACTGACCCAAGCCAACTGCAGAGCCAGTGTGGTTTATGCTTCAGCAGCTTCTGTTGCCCACAGTCAGGGTGGCTGGGAGCAGAGCACATGTGCTTTGTATCCTGGGACAATTTGAATCTTTACAACACTTCACAGTGATGTCTCCCCGCTTTGGCAAGGAGGATGCCAAGCCAGGAGGCACAGTGGTGCATGTGTTTGTGTTCCCAGCACATGGGTGAACCCTGTACATGGTGCTAGGCCTTGGCCAAGGTTGCTGTGCTGCTGCCTTGTGAGTGGGCTAACCTAGAGCTCTGCAGAGGCTTTTCATGGTGCTATGATCTGGGCTGCCTTCCCTGCTGTGTCTTGTCAGTAGTGATTTCATGGATCCAGCCTCATCTCTGCAGATTGGCTATCCCAGGCAGAGCCATTTGACTCCAGACCTGTGTATCTAGGCAGGAGCTGGCCAGATCTCTCCTGCCTGCTGCTTTTCCCTAATCTCACTGAGTGTGGTGAAGCACTGACCTGGAGTTCACTTTTTGGCCATCTGTAGTGATGAGCAGTTAGGATTGATTTGGGTTCTCACCTGTGGTTTGGCTGTGATCTGGGGAGGCTTATGGCTGGGCAGAGCTCTAGCTCTGCTCATGGCTCAATGGCTCAGGAGAAACAACCTTATGGAAAAAGAGATGCTGTGAAGCATCAATCTTTTGCAGTGAGCTTTCCTGGTCAGGGTGAAGGGATTGCCACAAAGCCACTGCTGATGTGACCTGCTTCTCCCTCTGTGTGTTGCAGACACAGTTTTCTCCCGTGTCGAGGAGGAGCACCTCTGGGAGTGCAAACAGCTGGGTGTTTACTCACCCTTTGTGCTTCTCAACACCCTCATGTTCTTCAACACGAAGTTCTTCGGGCTGCAGACGGCGGAGGAGCACATGCAGCTCTCCTTCACCAACGTGGTGCGCCAGTCCCGCAAGTGCACCACAGCCCGTGGCATGACAAAGGTGGTGAGCATCCGCTACTACGCTCCTGCCAAGCAGAAGAAAAGCCGAGGTGGGTCTGGGGGAGCATCTCTGTTCCTCCCCCTGCATCCCCCATCAGGATCCAGCCATGATCCAGCTCTGTCCCTCTCTGCAGATGGCGGCTCTGGAAAACGGAAGCGTGAGGAGGAGGTACCGATGCTGGAGCAGCGGGAGAACAGGATGAACCCCCTGCGATGCCCAGTCAAGTTTTATGAGTTTTATCTCTCCAAATGGTGAGGCTTTTTCTGGAGAAGAGGCATGTGCTATTTTGGGGTCACTTCTTAGTTTTGATGGAACCCTGTGCAGTGATTGCTGCTCTCCAGACATTTGTACGTGAGCATGCAGTCTTGCCCAGGCTCTGTGCTGCTTCACTAGACCGAGTTTGAGAGAATGCTTCTCTCTGGCCTCTTCCACTTCCTGCCCTTCTCGAGACTGGCAGGAATGTGCAGTAAGAGTCCAGTGCTTGGGTGGTAAGGGGTTTTGGCCTTGAGCAAGGAGCTGTAGGCTGAGTTTGTGTCCTTATCCTACTGAATGACGAGAGGCTGTGACAAGCTGTGAACACCCCTTGCTCAACAGGACATCAGGGCGGGCTGTCTGAACCCCTGAGGCTGGTAGCCCAGGTCTCACCCTCCCTCTCTCCACAGCCCCGAGAGCCTGCGGAACCGCAGCGACGTGTTCTACCTGCAGCCCGAGCGGTCGTGCATCGCCGAGTCCCCGCTCTGGTACTCGGTGATCCCCATGGACCGCAGCATGCTGGAGAGCATGCTGAACCGCATCCTGGCCGTCAGGGAGATCTACGAGGAGCACAGTCGCCTCAGCAGCCTGGAGGATGACGTGGACTAAGGCAGAGGTGCTGCTGGACTGGCTGCGCTCCAGCCCTGGACACCTCATCTTGCTGCTTGCCATTGCAGGGCAGGGCCATGCAGCATAGGAAGGGATGGTGCTGCAGCAGTGCTGTCCCTGCATCGTTACCAGACTTGGACCTCCCATCCTGCTCGTTACAGGCATCCCCTACGTCCATGGCCCCACACTCAGCTCTGTCTCGTTTTGGCTGCTGGGTGAGCCATCTTCCCCAGGGTCCGTTCCCGTGGCACAGGAGTGGCAGAGTCCCTGGTGCAGCTCCCCTTGCCCAGCCCTGTCCTTCTTCTACCCCCAGCCCTGCCACTACCCCTCTCTCCCTGTGCCCCAGGGCAGGAATTGCACAAAACACATTGGACCAGTGGCCCCCAAAGCTTTTACTTCCCTCTTCCTTTAGCATTCTCTCACAAGGCTGGAGGTATCAAGGCAGGAACAGTAGCTCTGCTGCTGGGGCAGGATTGTCTTTTCAAGCCAGTGGGCATGGGCCACAGGCAGCCTGAGAGCTGTTGGGTCAGGGGGAGAACTTCTGTCCCAGGATGGGAGAGATTTGGGTTGGTTGCAGGGAGTAGATAGAGCTGGCACTGGAATTCATGGGCAGAGATCTGCCCTTGCCACAGGGATACCTCCCTTGTGTACAGCCAAGATGCCTCCCTCTCTTTGGTCAATGTTTTCTGACTCTGCTGAAAACTGATGGAGATGGGTCTGTACTAGTGCTGCCCCTCTCTCCCCACTGTTCCCTGTCTTGGTGTAAGGACCCTCCCCTGTGCAAGGTGCCATCAGTAGAAAACTCTGCTCCAGCCAGCGGCCCAGGCATTTGCTGGCAGAAGCAGGGAGCCCTGCCTGGCCTCCCCCTCCCTCCCACAGCCACAGGCTGCCACCACCCTGCCCAGGGCAAGTCCAGCTTCAGCTGTGCCACTCTGTGCTGCCTCCTGCCCCTTCTCGTGTTCTGGTCGGTTTTCTTGAGCTGTACATGGGTCTCCTGTTGAGCCTGTATATATTGTTCTGGGCCCTGGCCTGGGGCCATCTGTTCTCTGTGTCCATGTGGAGAGTGAGCTGCTCACCAGTCTTGTTGTAGTGATGCCAGGGCAGTAGGACTAACCCTGTGTCTCTGGAAACCATTCATTTCAAATAAAGATGTGAACAACTGGTAGCCCCTGGTTGTTCCCCTGGGCAGGGTGAGCATTGTAGGAGAGCAGGGCTGGTGTCCCTGTGCTGCTGTGCACCTTGCTCCCGTCCATCCCAGCCTGTGCTGCCTGTACTTCTACCTTGCCTGGGCCCTGCTGTCCTGCCAGCTCTGGCATGTGGTGATGGCCTCTGCCCTAGTGCCCACTGGTGCCAGCATGGCATGCCCTGCCTGTCCCTGCCCTGCCCTGGGCCCACAGTGCTGCAGCCCCACCCAAGCAGCAGTGGCCCTGTCCTGGCCATGCAGCGTGGCTGTAGGATGGAGCAGCTGGAGAGCAATGCCACAGTGCCTGTGAGCAGAGCAGGAGTCAAGTGAGGTGCAGTAAGTGTTTATTTTCTCCCCCTTCCATGCTCTACTCTCAGCCCTGCTGCTCCCAGGGGTGCCAGGAGCAGCTGAGCAGTGTCCCCAGAGCTGTCCCCAGCTCTCATGCTGGCCATGGGGTCCATGTCTTGGGCCTGGCAGAGACTGGGGACACAACCACCACTGTGCCCACCCACGCATTGCCCATCCCTGCCCATCCCAGCAGGCCACATTTACACTGCCAGGTCTGCTGTTCGCATGTCCCTGTGGGACCCAGCAGCCACCCCTAGCCATGCACCTGCCTTCTTCAGCGGTGCCAGCCCATGGGGGGGTCTGCCAGCAGCCAGGGGGCTGCCACCCCTGGGCAGAGTGACATAGGTGCTGCCAGGCCCCGCAGGCCCACCTGGAGCGGTCAGGATGCGGGACTTGGGGCCTGGCCCCCGACGGCACTTGGTGAGAGCCAGGTGGTAGATCTCCACCAGGTTGAGCAGCAGGGACACGCAGGCCACCCCCAGCATGAAGAGGATGAAGATGGTCTTCTCAGTGGGCCGGGAGATGTAGCAGTTGACCGTGTTGGGGCAGGGCCAGCGGCTGCAGGTGTAGAGCGGCTTCAGCTGGAACCCGTACAGGGCGTACTGGCCCACAATGAAGCCCACTTCCAGGAGAGCCTTGAAGACGATGTTGCAGATGTATGTCCTCAGGATGGCCCCCCTCATGCACACCCGTGCCCTCGTGTTGCCTGCAGGGAGCTGGGGCTGCCTGGGGCGCTGCCGCCTGGCCCCGCTGCCAGCCCGCGCCGCCGTCTGCTGCTGTGCCTTCTCCTCCAGGTGCACCAGGTGCAGGATGTGCCCCAGATACACAAGGCTGGGGGTGGAGACAAAGATGATCTGCAGGACCCAGAAGCGGAGGTGGGAGATGGGGAAGGTGCTGTCATAGCAGGCATTTTGGCAGCCGGGCTGCTGCGTGTCACAGGAGAAGCCAGACAGCTCGTCACCCCAGACCCGCTCCGCGGCTGCCCCCAGCACCAGGATGCGGAAGACGAAGAGGACGGTGAGCCAGACCTTCCCCACCACCGTGGAGTGCTCCTGGGCATTCTCCAGCAGCCGGCCCAGCAGGCTCCAGTCCCCCATGGCACGTGCTGTGGTGCCCTGCAAGACAGCCACCCTCCAGACACATCTGCCCCACAACCTGCCAAAATGCCACCCCACTCCCTGGTCAAGCAGGTGTGCACAGACCCAGTGCAAGGCTGCCCCTGGAGTGTCCCCATCCTGCATCCCAGGGGACCCCCTCACCTGTCCCAAGGAGAGCAGGGGGAGCAAAGGCCTCCAGCAGAGAGCTGGGAGCACCACAGGGAACAAGCGCGGTGGCAATCCGGCACGGGCACCTCTCACCGTAGACGGTGGTGGGGCAGAGCCCAGAGCTCCCACGCCGCCTGCTCTGGTCACTGGGGTGTGGGGGATGCTGCCAGGCCCCTTCCCAGCTGGTGCCCACTCCTCCGTGGGGCGCGGACAGGTCTGCCTGCTCCGTCTGTCCGGTCACCCAACAGCAGGCATGGGGTTATGGGGGCATGAGGCAGCTGCGTGCCCCATTGGCTTTCATTGTGACTGGCACATCAAACAGCCACTGGGGAAACTTTTCCCCTCTATTTTTGGTCTGGGCACTTTTCTAATTATATTCGGGGCTGCAGGGGCTGGTGCTGGGGGAGCGCAAGCCCTTGGACACTGATCAATGCCACCCAGGGGTCACTGGCTGCTGCTGGCTGTCAGGGTAACACAGCCCCAGCCCCAGCTCAGCCCTGGCACTGCAGCCACACAGCCCCTCGTGGCACCCACCAGGGCTTGGGTGCAGGGATGGACACCCCACACTGGCACCCCAGCTCCCGGCATACCCCAGCCAGAGCAGAAAGGAGGGAGGCAGCACCTGAGAATGGAGATTTAATGGCCCAAGATGCCCTCCTGGCCATCTAGGAGAGCCAGACTAGCGCCTGAGGGATGCTATCCTTGGGACAGGGACAGTAACAGGCCCATGGGGCGACTGTGGGGCCAGGGCCCTTGCAGTGGTGGCCCTAGCAGGCAGAGCAGCGGTCCCCCTTCTCCTGCAGCCCAGAGTTGCGGCGCAGCATGTCCTTGAGGGAACCGTCCTGCTCTGTCAGCAGCTGGTTGATCTCGTTCTGCTTGTACTCGGAGGAATGCTTGTGCCCATAGAAGGAGCCCTTCGCCGACGAGGGGTTGGAGTGGTGCTGGCTTCGGCGGGCACAGGCCCGCACCACCAGGTAGACCAGCTCTGCCATGTTGAGGATGATGCAGACACTGGAGGTGACCAGCATGAAGACAGTGAAGATGGTCTTCTCAGTGGGCCGGGAGATGAAGCAGTCGACAGTGTTGGGGCAGGGGTAAGCCTCGCACTTCACCAGCCGCATCATCTGGTAGCCTGGGTAGAGCATGTAGAAGATGTACATGAACACGGCCTCGAAGAGCAGCCTGAAGACCACGCTGCAGACATATGTCCACCACAGCGAACCCGCTATGCGCATCTTGTGCTTTTTGACCTCTTCCATGTGCTTGGGATCCGCGTGCCCTGTCAGCACCAGCAGCTTCTTCTCCTGGTGCTGCTGGTAGGCCACGTGCATGGCCACGAGAAGGGCTGGTGTGGTGACGAGGATGAGCTGCAGGGCCCACAGACGGATGTGGGAGATGGGGAAGAAGTGGTCATAGCAGACGCTGTTGCAGCCAGGCTGCTGGGTGTTGCAGGTGAAGGCGGATTTCTCATCCCCCCAGACGCTCTCGGCTGCCACCACTAACACCATTATCCGGAAGATGAAGATGACGGAGAGCCAGATGCGCCCGATGGCAGTGGAGTGGCGGTTCACCCCGCTCAGCACTGTGTAGAGGCCGGCCCAATTCATCGTTTCTCACGATGTCTGCAGGAGAGAGCGGTGAGGGATGGTGTTAGGAGCAGGAAGGATCCCTGGCTGAGAGCCAGTGGGACCTGGCTCCAGTGGCAGCAGCCCCAGGAGGGACCTGGGAGCAACTGGGTGGCAACCCTTGGTGGGTGGAGAGCAGGATCGAGAGACGGGAGGATGGACAGACAGCATGGCTCCTGCTGCTGACACGCCTCAAGGCAGCATTTTGGCCAGAGCAGGCAGGAGACTGGCTGCCCCAGCAGCGCCAGATTCTCCCATCCTGCTACCCCACACTGGCACAGGGATCCTAACCCACAGCTGCCACAGAGAATGGGGGTGAAGCTCCCACACATTTGCAGGGCCCCCCAGTACCCAGTGCTGAGCTCTTTGGCTAGGAATGGTCCCAAGGAGCTTAATGGGCTCCACCGCACCAATGCCTCCCTTTGTCCTCGCATTATCTGCAGGAGCATGGCCAGAGAGCAGGGATCCCCCGGTGCAGCCCTGCACTGCCCTCCCAGGGCCATCCTTGCGCCGGGAACACGGCGACCCCACCCCCAAGCACAGACCCCTGCCCCACCAGAGCCACCCACTGGCACTGATCATGGCCAGAGAGCCCTGAGCTGGGGGGATCACCCCGTGCAGCCCTGCACTGCCCTCCCAGGGCCATCCTTGCCCGGGGAACACGGCGACCCCACCCCCAAGCACAGACCCCTGCCCCACCAGAGCCACCCACTGGCACTGAGCAGCCCCGGGAGCTGCTTCCCACCCCCGCAGGAGTCCGGGTGGCTGGGACCAGCCACCCCCAGTGTGGAGGATCCTGGGACGCGTACCTGCCGGTGAGGAAGGGTCCTCGCAAGCTGCCCCCAGTGGCCCCTCTAAGGTCTCATGCCTCCCGCAGGAGAGCTCTGCTCCGCCTGCCCTCGTCTCTCTCTGCCACTGCCCTGCACTGGAAGTCATATGCTGCTTTATAAACTATTTACATACAATGGGGCCTTTATCGGCCCCTGAACAACACACTTTAGCATTCAGATCTAACGCCCTGACTTCCGCCCACCCTGGCCAAACAAAGTGCCTGTGTGCTGCATTCCCGCTGCTCGGCCCTGCACCCACTCCCACCTCCCCACCACGGACCCCCGCCCGCGGGCTGCCGGCGGCCCTGCCCGGCGGGACCCGCGCCACGGCCATGGCCGTGCCGGACGGGGCACCCAGCGTGCCCGGAGGTCCCTGCCCCGGGAAGCATGGCCGAGCAAGCTGCGTGCCCATCCCGCATGGACGGCACGGGCTCTGCAGCAGGGGCCTGGCACTGGGCTGCCGCGGGGCTGGGTGGCACTGGGTACCGCTGCTGTGAGTCCTGCCTTCTCCTCAAGGCTCTGGTGCCAGCAGCAGCGTCTGCGAGGGCTTTGGAGCTGGCCCGCGTGTGCAGCTGGAGATGCGGGACAAAGCCCGGCGGAGTGACCAGGCTGTGCGCTGGGGCTGCGCTCCTCCCCCGACAGGGACTCACTGGCGCTGCCCTCCTGCTCGGACATGCTGGTTGGGACAACAATCCCTGTGCTCGCACAGCCCCCGTGCCCCCAAGGCTGGTGTCCCAGCCGCGCCGCCACACCGTGCCCATCCCCGCAGGGATGGCGCCATGTCCCTTGGGCTTCGTCCCCCGCCTCAGGTGGGGAGCAGCATACCCAGCAAACCCTCCCAGCTGGCTGCCTGTAGGCTGGCAGGGCAGTTAATGCCATCCCAAATGCCACCTCTTCCCCTTAGCCCCAG